TAATAATAATAATAAGTGTTGATGTTAACATTTATTGATATGCTAGACATATAATGTATCATGTCACTTAATTGCCAAAGCAACTTGGAGACGTTGTACTTCCACTGTTCTCATTTTATAAATGAGACATGGGGAGGTCAAGTGACTTGGCCAAGGTCATCAAGCTGGTACGCAGCAGAGCTAGGGCTCAAACCCAGCCAGCCTGACTGCAAAGCTTGCACTCGTAACCCATGCATGCATGCATGTGTCCAGCAGAGAGACAGAGGGTGCTTGCTACGTGAGAAGCACGAGTTCAGTGCTCCGAGAAGGGAGAAATGACCTCCAGCCAGGGGATCGGGAAAAGCTTTGTGGAAGAAGTAGCATTTGAGCTTGACCTTGAGGGATAAGCAGGGATGCGAAGGGGAGGAAAACCGCATTCCAGGCAGATCATGAAACAACAGGAGTGAAAGGCACCGAGATGGAAGTAGCAAGGACGTCCGGATGCCTTCTGGCGGGGATGTTCGAAGACTACTTCCGTCTGGTAGAACATAGGGTATGTGCAGAGAAAGAGTGAGCAACGGGGCTGAAAGAGTTGTTGAGAGCAGTCTATGGGGCACCTTGAATGCCATGCTAAAAAGTCTGCTCTTCCCTCTATGCACTGCAAGAAGCAGGCCGAGAACAGTGCCCTGGGATCCAGGAGGTGGGTGGTCTGGGGCGGAGGGTGGTGGGTGGGGGGAGGAAATGGAGGCAGAGGCTGAGTTAGGTGGTTATCACAAGAGCCCATGAAGGAGAGTATGAAGGCCTGAACAAGAATGAAGAGGAAGGTTACTTCTGGAGGCCCCCTGGATGCCCAAGGAATTGGGACTGCCTGCTTTGGAGAGGAGCTAAAGCTGTCAAGGGCGAAGGGCGTGGTGAGGCTGAGAGGCAAGCTCCCCGCAGGGCGAGATTGGGCCCCTCTCTCCACGTGTCTGCCTCTTGCCCAAGCGCACAGGTCCCTGTAGATGGTTCCGTGGAGAGCGGGCTCACCCATTTCACACTTCCTTCTTTCTTTACCCTCCTCCCTCCTCCAGCTCTTTGGCACAGTTTCTATTTTACCTTCCTGTCGTGCGTTCCCGCCAAGAGCAAGGGACTGTGAAGGTCCCTATTCACTGGACTGCAGAATGGGCCACTTGGCAAAAGCGGGGCCTTTTCCCGTTTCCGGCCCTGAACCTCCTTGTAGCTTCCAGAGGGGCTGAAAGGAACTGTGTGGGGATCTTGTGAGTAATGGGGGTGGGGGCAGCGAGGCAGGGCCCACTGCCAGGTCCGCGGGCAAAGCTGGAGCCCGCGTCAAAGGATTCTGGCTGAGCGGGGAGAGGGCGTGAGATGGACGGATGGAGGGCGCAGCTGTGGGATCAGTCAGGGGCCTAGGAGAGGGCTTGGGAAGGTTGCCGAGGATGCTGGTGTCACTTTCCCATCCCCATGCCTCCCATACCACAAAGGCCCAGCGAGTGCCAAGGGGGACGATGCTGTCCATGGGCAGCTGACCCCACACTACCCCTACCCCTCGAAGGCTCAGTGCTGCAGGGCCAGGATGGCGGGGTCTGCTTCCTGGCGGCATCTTCCCCCTCAGCTCCAGACAGACAGTGCTTTTTCCTTCTTCAGATGATTCAATGAAGAGGCGCTGTCAGTGGAAAGGAACTGAATTAGGTCTTGGAGTCCCTCCAAGACTTCGTGCTCTTCCTCCCCGTATGATGGTAATTGCACTTTGCATGTCAGATTGGCTATCCTGGTTTCTTCTCGCAACAACCCCGCGAGGCTGAGAAGTCAGATCGTGATGACTCGGAAAGCCCACTGGGCTGGAGCAAGAGGGCCAGGCTTGGGGTCCCAGTCCTCCCAGGAATCCTTCCCAGTTTTGGAACCCCAGGCAATAGATCCACATTTCCACCAGGGGCGCTCAGGATGACATTAAGATCTGATACTCAGATGAAAACCTTTTCGTTTTAGATCCTTACCCTCTGTTTATGGCAAGTGCTATGCGTTTCCTATAAGTTCCTACAGAAATGCATTTATGTATACAAACAGATTTATGTAAAGCATTAAATGGGAGACTAGGTGATGAGGAGATATGGTGAAAACCATGCAGGAAGTCCAGGGAAGAATGTCGAGGAAGAAAACGAGCATCTTGGATCCCGTTTCTTCATCCATAAAGCAGGGGTCACCAGCTTGCCAGAGTCACCGTGGGGTCCGGCAAAGCACGACGGAAGGATGCACACCGCATACACACACGGTATCAGCATTTCACAGCCACAGCCCTCTGCCCGAGGTCATGCAGCCCAGTTAGGCAGCTAGGGCTCCCCTGGGGCTCCTCACAAACGCCAAGAAGGTGCCCAGCGCCCATCCAGCTGGATTCAACTGCACCAGGAGAGACTAAAGTTTGACGTGAAGACCATATTTAGAATGAAACATTTCGAGGCCCAGGAGGTGCTGGGAGGCTAGGAGGTGGGTGGTGGCGGTTGTGCTTGTGAGGAGGCCTGCGAGGAGGAAAGAACTTCTGTGGTCTTTCTCAGCAAGGAGCCCCACACCCGTCTCTGGGATATGCTGTCAGGGGCAGTATGTTCGATGGTGGAACAGGCCAGCTCCAGTGAATGTGATTGGGGGTGGGCACGGGGGGGGGGGGGGGGTGGCTGCTAGACCCACTACCACTCGGACTAATCAAACCAATTAGATACTCTTAGGACCTGTCCAACCGACCCCTGAGGGCAAGCTGGGTATGACTGGGTCCCTGTCCTGAGGGAGCACCGGAAGCCCTGGCACTGGGAGGCCAGAGAGGAACTCAGTCCCCTACAGCCTAGAGATTGGGATTAGTGATGACCATTTCTAGTTGGGATTTTCTCTGGCTCCTCTCCTCTGCTCCCACCCCACCCTGCTCCATCTTGGGTTCCCGAGGCAGGAGAAACCCTGGGATCTGAGAAGGTCCCACGCCCCCGAAGACAGCAGCTTGCCCTCTGGCTCTTTCTCCCTGGGTGACATCATTCCCCCTTGGGGCCAGGAAAGGCAGCTCCTCTCAGTGAAGACCCAGCTGATGCTCCTGCCTCCCCACTTCCCCCGGCCCTCCCCGCTTCCCACACTTCCTCCTTCTCTCGTCCTCCTTCTCACAGCTGCCTTCTGCCCTCAGTGTCAGCACCCTCGCTGGTGGGCAAGAGGATGCGGAGCTTTCCTTTCCTTCCTTGCTCTTCCTTTGGAGGGGGCCGGGGGGAGGACAGAAGGGACAGGACAAGAGCTGTGTTTCTCCTTGATCCCACCAGGTAGATGAATGGAGTCCTGTCACGACTGTGTGTTAAGGTCCACTGAGGAAGACGTGTTCTGGAAGTTCTCAGGAAGTCTTAAGATAACCACCAAAACTCACCTCCAAGCCATGTATAAACACTCATTACGTCACCTAATCTGTCCAGAGCTGCGTGAGGCAGAAACTCGTATTCCCGTTTTGAAGAATGGAGAAGTTGAAAAACGATTTAAATAACCGTCCCGGCCACATAGCTGCTGCTATGTGGCAGAGCTGGGATTTGAACCCTGTTACATTTGTCTCTAGAAACCAAGACCTTAACCAATACAGAATATCATTTTCCATAGGGGTCTAATTTCACCTCCTGTTGACTTGACTGGGGCCTCTGTGTTATGAGCAGTCCCAAATTCATACATACCCACACATTCATTCTCACTGGAAAATGGTACAAAATGTCAGCATTATGTCTTCAGGATTTTTCCATACTGGAAGAGACTGAATGGGGTCATTTCATTCCTCTCACTGCCTCTGACCTGGACTGTGTTCAGCCTTCTGGAAGGATGCCTGCAAGTTCAGGCTTCTCGCCTGTTGGTAAAACGAAGCCTTGAGCGGTGTCCCTGACTCTTTCTCTCTGAGGAGTGCATTACTGCCTGAGGGCAGCAGGTCTGGAGACACAGGACTTGGGGTATTCAGTGGTACTCAATAGATGTTTTATGGGTGTGTCACAGGGGCAAGGTGCTAGCTGGGTTCTGGGGAGGCATAACAACGTGTAGATCTCAGACCCTGCCCTCGATGGTAAATGCTCAGTGAATGTTTCATGAGCAACTGAGCATTGAAACGTGGAGGCGGGGGGAGGGGCTGGGCCGCATACAGAAGTAGCACGATAGACAAAGGCACTTGGGGTGTCACTGATGACGTTCTGACAGCAGCAGGGGGTATGCATATGGGAACAGTGACATGCTTCTGAGTGGCAAGTGACAGGATCACAGGAGTGTGGGAAGACTGAGCTGGTGGCCGGAAGGCCTTCGAGGAGGGTTCTGCATTCCAGGAGATGGAAAAGCAGATGTGAGACCTCTGGGGACAGGAAGAGGGGCAGAAGGTGGAAACAAAAGCCAAACGGGACTCTGAGGTCCAGGTTGGG